TATATATAAATGTATATATATGTATATATATATATATACACATACATACATACATACACACACATATTTACATGCAAAAACATACATATACGTACACATATTTACATGTTCATATATGCATATATACACATCAGTGTTGCCCCTACCATTATCCAAGGAGGGCGCCCCGCCCTGTCAACAGAACTGAACACATCACCTGCCAAGTCCCCCACACCCAACTGCTCTGCCGGGAGCTCAGCTCAAATTCCAAACTGTGTGCAATAAAAAAATTACCACTCGCTATACCTGCCCACCCCAATCATCATCAAATGCCGGCACTAATACCACTAAACTAGCATGCACTTCAGACGTAGAGCTCACATTCTCTTCTCCACAAGACCAAAGTGAAACAGGAAGTGACATCACAGGGGGACTCCTTGGTTTGTGTTTACTGAAGCAATATTATTTGAACTCGGACTCATTTTCGTCTGTCTTTGTTAGTAGCTCAAAAACTAAACTAAACAAACAGCAGATTCTTCTCTGCCATCTGTGTCGTTAACTATTGCTAATTGTAATGCAGTTGTAGCAATGGTATGTGCAGGCGATCCCCTCTGACATCACTTCCTGTCACTGCTCACGTGATTGTCTCAAAACTACTCATCTCAGTGAGGTGATTTTTAAAAAAAACTACATTATCATCTTTACAAAAATGTATTCATTTTTATTACAAAAAATTGATGTCCCAGACACTTTGACATTTGCATTATACAGTAGGCAATATTTGCCATAAACACAAAAACTTGATCCTCTCTTAATTCAAAATGTTACAAGATGTTGCCATTCCTTATTCTTGGGATCAGCTTAGTCATCTTTAAGGAAGTCCAGCTAAAGAGGGACTTGTAAAAATATTTCTCAAATTATAACTTGTATACAGACCCCCGCGACCCACAAAGGAAGAAGCAGGTAAAAGATAATGGATGGATGGACATATATATTAATATAATTTGTGTTTAAAATGTATGTATTCCTAACTAATGACCGAGGCAAGAATTATTCAAATAATTTAGAATTAGTAGGAAGAAATCCTATTCTAAAAGCATTTCTCACCTTCTGTTGCTGAAAAACTCCAAACTCCAAATCAGTAATAGGGTCTTTTACCATCAATGAGTGCTCAGGGGAACCTAACAAGAGACAGACACATTATCCACAGACTAGACATGTGGATACAAAAAGGTTATTTTAACAAAACATCAGCAAACCTTACCCGTTTCAACCATTGCTTGAGACTCAGTTATACTTTGCTGCTGATTGTCATCTGATGTTTTACATAGGGATGCTACCTTGTCAGTTTCCCAATTGGATTCTGAAGGAGGCCATATAAAGGAAACAAAGATTCTGCATTATGCCTATATCTCATTTCTTATGCCTATACAACTTAAGAACATGGAGCCTCTTTACCTTTGTCACTATTGTGTTTCTGAAGCACCATCTTTTTTGTCTGAGGTTGTGGATGAGGAGCTGATTTAGAGGGTGCGCTCAGCAATATTTTGTCAGAACTGCTGCTCCTCCTCTGAGATGTTGACAATCCTGCAGGAGCATCATCTCCTTCCTGTTCATTACCAGGTACATTAGAGTGTTCTGGAAACTCTTCAAGCCCAGATGAGACGATTCTGTGCTCAGGCAAGGTTCTCTTACTCGTAGTGCTAGCCAAATCCCAGTCTGATGCATCTGGTCACACAAAAACAACATGACTTAACAAAAACATGAAAATATGTTGCTAAGAGTGAAAGGTCTGCTTATGTTATGGTAATTATTATTGCCCCATTCACTGAGTGCATACATTTCTATGACAATAGACAATGATGGCCATAGAAAAGCTCTGGAAAAGGCTTTCACTCTAATGTGTCTAAAATCAGGTGTCTTTCAGGTTCACCTGCACCTACATCTGGACCTGTCATTCTGTGTCCGTCTGTCTCTCCTTCCTGTCCTCTCAAATCAGCTGGTCAAAGCAGACGGCCGCTTGTCCTGAGCCTGGTTCTGCTGGAGGTTTCTTCCAGCTAAAAGGGAATTTTTCCTTTCCACTGTGCTTGCTCAGGATGGGAGACTGCAACGAAGTGAAGATTCAACTTGTCTGCTGGATTCCTTAGATAGAGAACTTTACTAATTGGCTTTTATGTGAATGTTTCTGTAAAGTGCCCTGAGACAACTTTGTTGTGGGAATGGTGCTGGTCAGAGGTGATGTCAAGAGTCTCAGATGTAGGGCAAACAATGCACCCAATGGAATGAACAATAGCCACCTCCAATGCTTGCGTCCATGTCAATCTCAGCAAAGACGACGCCCCCGTGGCCAAAATAAACTTGGAATGTATTGAAAGTGAGTGCATTAAATATCTTTAATGACTAAGGCAGAATTTTTATTCACACATTTTCACACTAAATTCACACCAAATCCTATAAATAAGATTGGTTTTTATGCTGCCATAGGCTTAGATGACTGGAATTTTAATATTTAACTTCCCTCTGAGATTAATAAAGTATTTTTGAATTGAATTGGAAGAAAAATTGACCTCATTTCCATAAATGAATTGTTAAAACTTTTCATTTGATACTATTTCTATCTTAACATGTGATTACTACCATCCAGCTGCTAACTAGACCTGTAATGCTACTAACAAGATCCTCCACCTGCCTGCACGGACCGAACTCTATGGACCCATTCGGTTCTGCGGGGAAACCTTGGATGTTCTCTGTCTGCTGGACCCAGTTCTGGAGGGCAGTCTACATTGCATCTCCTTAACTTCCTGTCTCCTCTCTTTAGTATTCGCACAGTCACATTTCTTCTTGGCTAATCTCTTTCTTTGAATAACTTTCTGCACTTCACTATTCCACCACCAGGTTTCCTGATCATCCATTCTCTGTCCAGATGACACACCAAGTACCTTCCTACCTGTCTCTCTAATTACTGTTGCTGTAGTAGTCCAGTCATTTGGAAGCTCTTTCTTACCACCCAGAGCCTTTAACAGCTCCTCTCTGAATTTCTCACAACATTCTTCCTTCTTCATCTTCCACCATTTGGTCTTCTTCTCTGATTTTACTCTTTTTCTCTTCTTCACAACAACAGTCATTCTACACACAACCATCTGACGATGTCTGGCCACGCTCTCCCCTGCCACAACCGTACAGTCTCCAATCTCCCTCAGGTTTCCTCTTCTACACAGAATGTAGTCGACCTGCGTACTCCTTCCTCCACTCTTATAGTCACTCTATGTTCCTCCCTCTTTTGGAAATAGGTGTTGACTACAGCCATTTCCATTCTCTTGGTGAAATCCACCACCATCTGTCCTTCCTGGTTTCTTTCCTTGACACCAAACCTACCCATCACTTCCTCATCCTCTGTTTCCTTCACCAATGTGTCCATTCAGGTCTGCTCTGATCATCACTCTCTCCTCCCTGTGAATACTCTCTATCACTTCATCCAGATCTTTCCAAAATGTATCTTTCTCCTCCTCATCACATCCAACCTGTGGAGCATAACCACTGATGATGTTTAGCAACAGACCTTCTGCTTCTACCTTCAGACACATCACCCTATCTGACACTCTCTTCACCTCTACTACATTCTTTGCCAACTTCTCCTTCAGGACCACCCCTACTCCATTTCTCTTTCTATCCACACCATGGTAAAACAGTTTGAACCCTGCTCCAATGCTGCGAGCCTTGCTGCCCTTCCACTTGGTCTCTTGGACACATAAAACATCTACCTTCCTTCTCAGCATCATGTCAGCCAGCTCTCTACCTTTGCCTGTCATTGTCCCCACATTTAGAGTTGCAACCCTCAGTCCTACATTCTTCACTTTCCTCTTCTCCATCTGTCTCCTGACACGTTTCCCTCCTCGTGGTGTTTGACTAACAGTAGCACAATTTCTGCCGGCACTCTGTCAACAACACCGGTGGCGGTTGTTGTTAACCCGGGCCTCAACCAATCCGGTATGGTTTCGCTTTGATGAACACGCATTATAGTTTTTGCAGAAGTGTTTTATGTTGTATGCCCTTCCTGACACAACCCTCACCATTTACCTGGGCTTGGGACCAGAACAAGAGATGCACTGGCTTCTGCTCCCTAGTGGCTGGTTTCCCTTAATTTCAAAAACTACAAAAATTTAAATCTAATTCAAATCCCTTGGTGAAGGGGGACATAGGCATTGGTAACGATCAGGTTTTCATATGCAAAACATTTTCAAAACAAAAAGAAGCTCTGAAGGCTGAAACTTAAAATATATTGTGTACAAATTAGAAATTATACAATTTAAACAATTACGCTCATCAGGCTTAGTGACAAAAAAAAAGAGCAATAACTGCTATGTGATGTCACCAAGTTATAAGGGAAGAACAAACATTTTCTAAGAGTGAATTATTACATATGAGCAGTAATTGACAGTTGATACTGAATTATTGTTAATATACAGTAATTATTAAATCTTACCTTCAAGATCATCAACATCTCCCAATTCGAGATCATCCATTAGGTCTGTCAAATCAAAACAAAGCGCATTTAACACTTTTTCAAAATATATTTTAATTTAAAAAATGTACCTTTTGTTTTTAGGATATTCCCTTCAAGTTTGCCCAACACTACAAGTGACTCCCATTTTGTCTTGTCATTCTAGTAGGAAAAAAAAACACACACAACTGCAGTTTTTGATTGATAAAATTTCTCAGATATTCTCATAAGAGGACAAACCTACCTCTTTCTGTAAAGCATCATCTTCTCCAACAGGTTCCCCTCCACCTTTATCTTTACTGTTGTTTCCAGCTGGAAAAGACAAGACACGTTTGGTATGTTTGCAACAAGTTTCTCTATTTAAAAACAGTATCCTGATGATGCAGACTGTGTTTAGCAGAGCTCTATAAGAAGCATTCCCATGCAAATGAGCTTGACGTGAACATGCCTTTGCATATGCCAAGCACATCAATTCAACATAAAATTGTATCAAGACAACTTCTACATTAACCAAGATTGATAAAAATTCAACCGAAGCCTCTCTAAAAATTAAAAAGTCGAGTCGTACATGTGTTCGTTTGCATTTCAGCTCCGGTAAACAGTGTTGAAGGGCAAAGGACAAGATGGTGCAGTGCATGCATTCATTCTTTTATCTAATGATGAGGTGATTGCGAGGTCTTTGCTTAGCTAGAGTCAAATAAGTCATACCCTGGCTCTGGCTGATTTGTGGCCTGCCTATCTCTGCCATCCTACCGCATCCACTTCCTCTTAAAAAAGAAGGAATGTAAAACACGTCTACAAAAAAAATAAATAAAAGTAAACTGTTGGAAATCTCATTTAAATGATAAAATTATGTCACATTTTATTTTCAGCATTTTATTTTAATGAAGAACAAGAAGCTAACAGCAAATTCCACATACGACATGGATGCCTTAAAACACGTTTTTTCTATAAATTCAAATAAATAGGATCACACTGTTTGCACTGCATGAAATGGTGCCTGTGATGATTTAAACTGATCTAAATCCACCATCTGCTTCTAATATACAAATGATGAAAATAGTCTTACGTTCTCCGAGTGATGCATCTGTAGAGGACATTTCCTGTTGATTCGGAGTATGGAAATCTTGATTTTCTTTTTGTAGCATATTGCAATTTTCTGAAATTGACTTATAAAAATAAACAAACAATAAATCAAAAATCAGTGTCCTGAAAACTAAAATTTACAAAAGAATAATTTTCTGACAGCCATAACTTTGGTGCACCTCAGAGTCCCATGATTCAGTTTCTTCTTCACCTCTCTTCAGACCCAGCTCTGACAGGAAATCTGTTTAGATAGAAATGGATTACTTGACAATACTGTAAAAATTATAACTTGCTTAGGAGCATAAAAACCTTTCAGATTTGTCCTGATGATGCTCAATAATCCAGGTAGAAAAATCTAACAAAGTTACATCAGGTCCTCTGGACAGATCCTTTTTTGAAACTTTTCATCTTTCATCCAAAAGATTTGTTCAGTCTGAGGAGCCACAAACAAACTCAGTTTTATAAATAGCACCTTCACACAGTGGGTAAACCAGTTTGATGGTGCTCAGACGGTTTCTGGAGTCCACCCTCTCCCCCGCCGACTCATTTGAGGCTGTTTGTTGCAGATCCTCAAACTGATAAAGTCTTCTGGATGAAAGACGAAACGTGTCAACAAAAAGAAACTGTCCAGACGACTAACAGATTTTTCTTCCTGTATTTTTATCTGAATAAGTGTTTCAATTGTCAAAGTAAAAAATAGTTTAGGTGTCTGTATGGTGCAACCTGGAGAGGTCCTTCACCGTCTTTTCTGTTGACTCATGACAAGGAACATTATTAGTGAGAAAAATAAACAAAAACATAATGTGACTTTAGATGTATTGTAAATATATTTAAATTTGATGAGAAGCTGTATATCTAACAGCCATATAGAAATGCCTTCCCTGTTTTTCACAGTAGGAATGCAAACCTACAGCAGAACGATGTCTCAAACAGAATCCTGCCCATTGTTAATAAGCAACATTAGGTAATGATAGTCATGTAATTTGTGAGATTATTTTAAACAGTAAGCACTAGCACTGGCTCTCAAGAAACTAATTCAGACCTCTTTTCTTCTCTTTTGCTTCAGGAACAGGTGAAGTGGCCTCAGGAGACTCTCCACTACATTCAAACGGATTATTCTCATCTGACATGTCTCCTTCCTCTTCCTCCTCAACCTGCTCCTCTTCTCTGTCATCCTCATCCTCATCCTGTTCAAAGAATTAAAAAAAGATAAAACTGCATTATTACAATACACGGGCTGGTCATAAAATTAGAACATGAAAAAGTTTTTTTATTTCAGTAATTCCATTCAAAAAAGTGAAACTAGTAGATTATATTCATTCATTACACACACACAGACTGAAACATTTCAAATGTTTATTTCTTTTAATGTTTACACGCGCAAAATTTTTTGACCAGATTGAAATGTTTTCAGATTAAACTATTCAAATGTATCATTTACATGTGTTACAACTCGGGGAACCCAGAGTGGTACGAGACCATGAAAACGAGGCAAGACTCAAAAATTGACAGCGTTTATCATTTACAGTGAAGAAGATGATCAGCTGTGACCCTGAGGAGGAAGGAGAGGGTCAGAAGGTTCTGGCTGGGGAGTATCAGGAGATGATGTTTATCCACTGAATCTGTCTTACAGTCTGGAGGATGGTCGAAGGGGAACCAAAGTGGACTCCAGATGGGAAGGCAGGAAGGTGTGGCTGGAAGGCAAGGCACGAGGAACCAAGAGAGGAGTTGAGGAGAATCAAGGCACGGCGGGAACCAAGGAGCAGAACCAGACAAGGACCAAGGCACAACGGGACCCAAGGAGCAGAACCAGAGGAGGACCAAGGCACAACGGGATCCAAGGAGAAGAACCAGACGAGGACCAAGGCACGGCGGGATCCAAGGAGAAGAACCAGACGAGGACCAAGGCACAACGGGATCCAAGGAGCAGAACCAGACGAGGACCAAGGCACAACGGGACCCAAGGAGCAGAACCAGAGGAGGACCAAGGCACAACGGGACCCAAGGAGCAGAAGCAGAGGAGGACCAAGGCACAACGGGACCCAAGGAGCAGAACCAGAGGAGGACCAAGGCACAACGGGACCCAAGGAGCAGAACCAGAGGAGGACCAAGGCACAACGGGATCCAAGGAGCAGAACCAGAGGAGGACCAAGGCACAACAGGACCCAAGGAGGCAGGTAAGCTGTAACCACAGGAAAAGCTTTAAGTTTAAAGCACGAGAGATAAACATAGGCCAGAGACAAAGTATACCATCTGTGTCAAATGCTCCAGCGATGAGTAACATCTAGCTGCAGCCTTAAGTAGCCAGGAGCCTAATCAAGATGATCATCATCAGGTGGTGCTGATTGGCGGCCATCTTGGAGAGGAAAGCTGCAGCAGGTCATACTCATCACAACATGGGCACAATCCGTTCATGACGAGTGGACTTTGTTCTGAACAGAAGTTTGGTTCATACTTTTCCTGTTCATACTTTTCAGTTGGCCAACATTTCTAAAAATCCTTGATTTTTTAATTGGTCTTAAGTAATATTCTAATTTTCTGAGATACTGAGTTTGGGTTTTCATTAGTTGTCAGTTATAATCATCAACATTAAAAGAAATAAACATTTGAAATATATCAGTCTGTCTGTAATGAATGAATAGAATATACAAGTTTCACTTTTTGAATGGAATTACTGAAATAAATTATATTCTAAATTTATGACCAGCACCTGTAATTAAAAAAACATACTTATTGGTCTTTTGTGTCTGTGAGCACTTGTAAAAAAAACAATCAACAGTGCTGACCAAGGAGGAAGCATAGAAAAAAACGAGGTACATCTCTAACTGTACTGCTTTACAAACTACAGCAGAGCATCCAAGTTTACCTTGAGGTTTTTAGTATCTGTGAGTTTGTGCCGTTTCATGTCATTGTCTTCAGCATCATCAGGTGAGTTTACAACAACAACATCAATGTCTGTCTGAGGCAAGGCTTCATCAGATGATGTGTCATCACCATCTTTGGTAAGTGGACTGGAATGTTTATAAGGACTTGTTTGTCCTTCACTAAGATCATCAGAAGACTCTCTTGTTTTGGTACTGACTGACGTTTTATTTTCTAGCGGAACATATGGCATTAATCTGGCATCGTCAGCATCTACACCAACAAACGTACATTTATCCATGGTGTTTCCAGAATCCTCTTTCTTATAGAGCAGTTTTATTGTGGCGCTGGCAAAGTCATACTGGAGCTTCAGATGCTTGCTGTCTGAGTTTTGACTCAACTCATTGTCTTTGCTCAGACTGGATCTGTCGTACTTTGACTTTGTTTCATTCATATTTTCATTAACTGAATGTGGACTGAATTTGTTATCACTGTCACTCCCAAAATTGTGGGCTTTTGTTTTATCTGCTTTTGTCTTGTCTACTACAACTGTGGGCCTCGAACTCAGTGACGACAAGTTGGTTTTAGAAAGAAGTGTGTCTCTTTTCATCTTCTGTTCTGACTCGACACTTTCATCATCAACATCCCAACCATCATCCTCTGTCTCGTTCTCTGAGTTTGACCATCCTTCAATCTGTGACAGCGCTGCACTGCCGTCATCATCTTCAGGTACTGTAGACACAACAGGAGAGGGGTCGTTTGGCTCATTTGCAATACTTTCTTTATCCTCTTCTTCCCAGAAGCATTCTTGTTGATCTTTGGTCTTGATTTCAGAGGCAACATTTGACTTCAGATCTAATGACGCCACGTTACATTCAGCAGTAGACGCATCATTTTGGTCATCCCACTCCGATTCTTCAACAGTGGGTCTGATTTGGGGCTGAGGGCAGCTTTGTACACCGTGTGCTGCAAATGTGTTCTCTTCACTAGTAACTAACTGGGAGGAGACATATTCTGTACATAACACTACAGGTAATGAAGAATCCCATGAGGTGTCTGGTTGGTTGTCACTTGGAACTAATCCATCTTTGGGATGCAGTGAATCTGCTTCTGGTTGCAAAGTTTGTATTTGAATAAGAGTCACTTGTTCAGAAGTGTTACTGTTGATCTGACTCTCTTTAGGCATGTCAGTGTTACTACTTTCTTGTGAGGAGCCCCAAGAGGATCTATGCTTCTCTCCTTTTATTCTATTTGAGCCTGCAACATCATCTGCATCAAACAGACCATCTGTTTTACCTACACCAACCTTATGTAACAAATCTCTTTGAGAAGTGATAATGTGACTAGACCCCCCTATTTTGTGTTGTTCCTCATCATCACCCCAGGACTGATGTTGGTCTTTTTCTGTTTCTCCGTCAGACTCATCCTCTTTACTCTCAGCAGGTGATTGGTGTATAGGTGGCATGGGGACTTCTGTTGAATCTTGGTTTAAAATTGTTTTTTGATTTGACAGGAAGCATTCATTAGCAAGGCTCTCTTCTTCATCAGAAAATTTAGATTCAACCCTAATGGCTGACACAACGCAGTCCTCAGCAACATCTAATGTGGCTGACAAAGCAACATTTGGGCAGTTTTTAGTGTCTTCAAGCTCCGATTTGGCGTTTTTCTCAGAAACACAATCACGGTCATGTTTAGCTCTGAGAGAACACCCAGTGCTGTGTGAGATGTCCAGAACGTGAGCGCTCTGAGAATTCACACTGGAACTAATGTTGGCTAAATCAGTTCCACAAGTTTCCTGTGCCTCTTCAATGTCGGCCTGGACAGCAGCTTTACTGCTGCCATCTTCTTCATCTTCCTCCTCCTCCTCTTCCTCAGATTCATCGTCTTCATTATCTTCCCCTTTATTCCTTTGTTCACCTTCGTCCTCCTCATTATCATCATCATCGTCCACTTCTTCACCATCCTCTTCCTCCTCTTCCTCTTCTTCGTCCTCTCCTGCTGAGCTGTCCTGCTCAGAGTCGGTCCTTTCATCATCTTCTGAATGCTGCTCTTGTTTTCCATCCCCGCTCTCAGCTGGACACCCTCCTTGATTTGGCATTAAGGAAAAGAAAGAGACATGGTTGTCACAAAATGCAACAAAGCCTTGTGTTATTTTACCTTCGTGTGGTTTGAAAGATGAGTGGAGGTCATTTGGGGTGCTCTGGGAAAGGAGGAAACTGCAGGGGAGTCTACTGGGTTGCTGCAAGTGGAAACCTTTGGGATGGGCGGGCTTCTCTGGACTCTACCCTCATGTTCTGCCTCTGATTCAGTGCCATTAGAGGAAGAGTCAGGAAGTGTTGAGGCTACAGGGAAGGGAGGGATAATGGATTACTACTAAAAACTACAAAGTATGGCAGCACTAATACAGTAAGAAGTAAAGGATTGGAAGGTCTGCGTTACCTTCTCCTTTTTTAGATTCAAACATTCTGCTTAGGTTTACTTTTAGTGGTTTCTAAAATTCAAAAGAAGAAACAAAGATTAGAGTGAAACTTAAATTTCCATTTAGAGCCGATAAAAGTTCAAATAAGGTGCTCCAACCTTTTCATTTGAAACCGATTCATTCTCATCTTCTGATGAAGGCCATTCATCAGCAGCACTTTTTGAAACTCTGATAAGGAAAATAAACATTTACAGCAGGAAAGTCATCTGTCAATCCAAACTGTAGCATGAAGTAAGATAATGGTGCTCACCGACTGACTGACTCGGACTGGGAACTGTTCTCCAAAAAATCTGCAACCAAGTAAACCTTTGAAAATGTATACGTGTCTCAAATAATACTAGCAAAACACATGAGTTTGTCCAGTTTGACAATTGTCAAGCACAAGGTCTTCATCTTAATCTGAAAATCCAGAGCAAGCATTGTGGCCAGGACACCACAAACTGGGTAGCAACAAGTGACATTTTCTAAAAAATGTTGAACAACAGGAAGATTAAAACTGCTTTCACCTAGAATGTGGTGGTTGAACGCTCATACAAGTCTGTGCTGCACAACAAAACAACGTACCATGTGTGCTTTGCATGGAGCTGGTGCACAGTGTGTGTGCTGAGAGAGAATAACTGGGAGGTAAGCACAGAGCTTTGCAACACCTTCACACATCCAGTCATGGGAACTTGTGAGATTAACTTGGTCACAAGTTACAGACAAATTGGATTTTGTGTCCGAGTGTCCAGATCAGTGTGAACTGCTCACTTTAACCTGGAACGACCTGGAGCTTTGAATTGGTTTGAATTTCTCCTCAGTTTATCATATTATTGCAGACTCAGAGCAGAAGCAGGTGTTTGTGTGTGTGTAGAGCTCCTGAACAAACTTGCTACTCCTGACGTTACTTTAATTGTTCATCCCTCCCTTCTCGTCACATCAGTAAGTCACAGCAGGGCTCTACCCTGGGTACAGTCTGTTAGAGCTGTTCTAACCCGGAGCCTGGCCCAGCCCGGATTAGGGCCGGGCCGGTCCATAATGTGCTTAATGTGCAGGCCAAGCCGGTGACGAGCTTTTGATTGCGTCAGCAGAAGCGCACGGCTGACGATCCAATTATATGTTAACATGGCTTGCCATCAGCAGCCGCACGCTGACCGGCCTTGAAAGAGGTCAAAAGTTCAGTTAAGCTTCAGATGGACATCAGCTCAAATGGACGTTCATTCAGCCACTGAACTCAGCGGGTGCGTGCGGCCGACAACCCAGACAGGTGATCACAAAATATCTGACATGTCAGAGCGGGGTCTGTGTGTGAATAATGCAGAATGCAGCAGAAGCAGGGATTTAATGAGCTTTGACGGCCATGAAAGGACAAACACCTCCTCAGCTCTGATCTTCTGCTCCTTTTATTCAGCCACGCCTCCGCCGACCGTTAATAACTATATAAGCAGTCAAAGCTTAATTAAAGAGTTCGGGGGGGGGGGGGGGTGTCCAGGTTCAGACCTGTAATTACTGTTAATTCATCGGGTCGGGTGGGGTTAGCAAATGATGGCTACAGGCTGGGGCCGGGTCTGATTTTTTTGGGCCTGAATGCAACTGTAGCCCGTGTGTCCCTTCCTCACGCTGTGAGCGTACACCACATCCTATGTAGAAGCAGATTAAAATAATCCTTACGTTGCTGTAAACAAACTGACACGGACTTTACTAACAAGTTTTATCTAAGCATAGTACCTCCCCCTGCTTCATTTGCTCCATGCTCTACATCCAGGCAAGAGGTCATGCATGAGGAATAAATAAAATGATCCAAGTGAGTCAGGAACAGTTTACAGTATTAATCATTGTTATCCACCGTCATATTATAAAAAATACACAGCCGACCTTCTTTATCCATGGCTGGTCCTCCCAAAGAGAAGCCTGCTTCAACATCATGGGAAGAACTGCCCAGAACTTTTTTCTTCTTACTCAGACCCTGATGTGATCCTGATGCCCTGTCTGCCTTCTGGGTACTGTGCTCTACGATCAGGTGGGAGCAACTGCACAAACAACAGGACACTCAAAATGTCACATCCAAAAGATACAGAATACTTTGAGAAGCAAGGAACACTTAAAGTAGTTTAGGTCTGTGTTTACATACCAGTACTACCAAACCATAAATGACAGGGAAATCGTTCCTCTTTCAGTACTGAGTGTAAAGGAACTATCTACTTACAGATGATGGCCATACATTGCTGCATAGTCATCAGCGGACCATCCTTTGGCATCTCTGAGTGTGATGTCAGCATCAAACCTCAAGAGAAGCTTCACCATATTGATCTGTTCGTTGCCAGCAGCTAACATTAACAGGGACCTGGGGATTAAAAATCATGAGCTGTAAACAATGAGGAGAACATTTTGATGTTTACATGTGCATCAAATGATTTGTTGTTTACTACTAGCCTCTGGTCTTGGTCTACAGCATCCACACAAGCAGACTCTTTGAGGAGAAACTCAGCCATGTCCATGTGGTCTTCACGGACTGCTACAGTCAAGGGTGTGAACCCCTCCTGAATCACACAACAAATCTTTCAAGATTCTCACTGTAGAACGCACATGCTCTTTCAATAAATATATAACAGCATGTGTGTGTGTGGGGGGGGGGGGGGTAGTGTTGAAGTGTCTGCTGTGTCAGATGTTGAGAACGGCACTACTCAGATTAAAAACGTGCGGAGGACAAGTGTTTTTTCTTGTGCACCTAATATTTCATTATCCATTTGTTCTTTCTGATCACACTCCTGGAAACAGGTCAAGGGTCAAACTGTGTTGAACTCTTTCCAACAGCAACGAGAAGGATCAACACGATGAAAAGATAAATCGCTTGTGTAGAGAAAATGCACCGCTGCCAGTACATATCCCTGACCCTAGTTAGGAGGGTACAGCATCAGAGAACGTAAACATCTGTGTGTCTTCCCGGTCCCACCAAACATCCCCAACCTAACAGAGCGAGCACAAACACCAAATTAAAGAACGTTTGAAAAACATGGATAGCTGACAGGACGCGGCACGGTGCCTCAGTTGGAAGAGCTGTTGCCTCTCAGCGAGATCACCAGTTCAAACCCCAGCCCGGGACCTTTCTGAGTGGACAACAAAGTCCACGCTCAATAATCCAGGTTTACAATCCAACATTTTTCAGTCAGCTCATCTGGACAGTTTGTGTTGTTGTGCTGAAACGTTTCACCTTCCATCCAGAAGGCTTCATCAGTCAAGGAAACACACAACAAAACTGATTCTTCCTCAAACAGCTTACTCCAAATTGGAACAAACCAGTTATGTTGGTGCTAAGGTGCAGAGTGGAGTTTGCATGTTCTGTCCATGTTGCATGGGTTTCCTCCCACAGACTAACAACATGCATGTTAGACTGATTGGTAACTCTAAATTGTGTGTGTGTGTGTGTGTGTGTGCGCGTGCGTGCGTGCGTGAGAGTGAGAGAGAGTGAGAGAGAGTGAGAGAGTGAGAGAGAGAGAGAGAGAGAGAGAGAGAGAGAGAGAGAGAGAGAGAG